TTTCTAATAAAAACTGTTTTTTCTTGCTCCCTCACCAGAAAACTTAACATTACGAGTAATGTCCCCAGCAAAAGGATTAATAAAAGCATTATCTGCATAATTTAAAACTATCAAAATTTGATGATACCCTCCCAGGGGAAAATAAACCTTTGAAATAAGGAAATTGAATTTGATTTTAGTTAATGCACTTTTTCTCAAAGGTTTCTTTACAGGAGGATACTTTAACAAATCTATATGAAGACCTTCAATGCTCAGGTCTATTTTGTCCAAATAGTTGGCACAAAGACTATATTTATTAAAAATGTACCTTTACAATGTACAGTGCATATACGAGGTTTAATACAAAATATGATCACAAGCAAACCCTTTAAAAACAAATGTTCAGCCAGTGGAATCACCCCTTTCAATGTGCCTGTCTGGACAAACACATTTTAAGAGTTGCTGTAACCTTTCAAATTTAGTTCCAACCAAAGAATGTCACAAAAGCTCAAAAAGGTGCAAGATTAAAACAAATAAAGAAAACCAAAACACAACTGTTTAAAAGGCCTAGTCAAAATTCTTATACAGTTCTTGGCACATCCATTCTGATGCTTTCCCAGAAAGCCTGCCCTATTTCAGCAGCTTTGGAGGAGAATTACAAAATAAACACAATGGGACAGCAGTTTCCAAGCAAACAACAATTTGTGTCTACACAGCATATGACATTTTAAATCAATCTTACAGTTTTAAAAATATGAAAAGTTACTTTGGATACTTTTTAAATAAACATCTGCCAAATAAGACCATAAAGGCAGCAGCTACAGCAATCAAAAGCAATCTGCCCTTATGTACGCTGTATTTGTATATTACTCATTAAAAATGCAGTAGTACAAAAATGATGTTTTAATTAAAAGGTAAAACATGCAGTAGAAAGAAATATTAAATTAAGCAACCATTTGGCATTTTTTATGAAAATCAGCTTGTTTCAGTTGGATTTGATATAATCGTCTGTTAGGAAGGCCAAATAACACGGAATACATACAGAGAATAGCTTCAATCTGTTATTTTAAAAAAAAACATTAAAAATAAATATTTACTATTTATTTATTGTTCTATATATAGTGCAATCATATGCAGCATGGAAGATAGTTCCCTAGCAGGCTGACTACTTTAATCATTGATTTTTTAAAAATAGGCCTTCGCTAGATGTATACTGAAATTATATATTATAATGAAGAGAAAGCGAGCGAGAGAGAGCGAGCAAACGAGAGAGAGAAAGAGCAAGAGAGAGAAAGAGAAAGAAAGAGAGCGAGCAAGAGAGAGAGAGAGAGAGAGAGAGAGAGAGAGAGAGAAAGAAAGAGAGCGAGCAAGAGGGAGAAAGAAAGGAGAGAAAGAAAGAGAGCGAGCAAGAGAGAGAAAGAAAGGAGAGAAAGAAAGAGAGCGAGCAACAGAGAGAAAGAAAGGAGAGAAAGAAAGAGAGCGGGCAAGAGAGAGAAAGAAAGGAGAGAAAGAAAGAGAGCGAGCAAGAGAGAAAGAAAGAGAGCGAGCAAGAGAGAGAAAGAAAGGAGAGAAAGAAAGAGCGCGAGCAAGAGAGCGATAAAGAGAGCGAGGGAGCGAGCAAGAGAGAAATAGAGCGAGAAAGAGAGCGAGAGAGAAAAAGAGAGCGAGAAAGAGAGAGAGCGAGCGAGAAAGAGAACGAGAAAGAAAGAGAGCGAGCAAGAGAGTGAGCGAGAAAGAGAGCGAGCGAGAAAGAGAGCGAGCGGGAAAGAGAGCGAGCGAGAAAGAAGGAACGAGAGAGAAAGACAGGGAGCGAGAAAGCGAGAGAGAGCGAGAGCGAGAGAGAGCGAGAGCGAGAGAGAGCGAGAGAGAGAGAGAGAGCAAGAGAGAGAGCGAGAGAGAGCAAGAGAGAGCGAGAGGAATTGATTACATAATCTACTTACTAATCCATAAATTGGAAACTCACAATAGAGAAAAATTATACCTTTTACATACATGCCATATATGGGATATTTGTATGTGACGTGGTAACATCATAAGGATTTTATATTGTGACTGGTGTGCGTCAATTGGCTGACAACCAAAATCAGTATGATCGCAAATAATTGCCACATGGCAAAGTGAAGTTCTTAGCATCACACAGGGCATAATGAGTACACGGAAAGCACCGTTTAAGTCAAACACAATTAATTTGTTGTTGGGTAAGCTGTACTGTCTTGTGTAACCTTTATACTTTGTGCCTGTATCTCGGTAAGATGAGCTGAACATTTTAGGAGGGTATGAGTTACTGCTTGAGAGGCTTCAAATTTATAAAAGCACTTATGATGACCTCTAGTGGCAGTTGATAAAAAGTAACATTACACAACGTGCCCGGGGGAATGAGGACAAGTTTTTGCTTTTGCATTGCATCGTAAATTCCAAAGTTAACACTATGGTAATAGTGCACTGCAATGCTCTAGATACACATGGGTTGTATCACATGTAAACAAACAAAAAATGACACAAACACACAAAGCCACAAAGGGAATACAATGTTAGATGTATGCTTTGCTTACCATACACTTCATATTTTACTCATCCATGCCAATGATGACAGCTATACACTATGCGCATCCTTCACAGTTTATCATGCTTACAATAATTTCTAACTAAAAAGAATTCATATACTGCTGCACAGTTATATAAATAATGTATGTGAACAGACATTTGTTTCCACATATGCTCAGTGCTCCAAATATCATCTAATTATCAACAGTCAACGCTTGAGGCTGTCTTGCCTCAGGAAGAAATTACATACACTAAAATGTATTTATTTTTTCTTTTATATTTCCCCCTCTCTCTCTTTTCCCCTTAAATACTTACTTATGTGCCAAATCCGTTTTTTCACACACATACACACACAATATTTACATAAAATTATGAAAGGAAATATTTTGTATACAGTATATTGCATTCAGATGAAGTACATCATTTGAGAAGTACATAAATCACACCACAACTAAAAAAATTATGTCATATTCATTTGGAGACACCACATTTAGCTGGCACAGAAGACGTCTTTTCCAAGCAGCTAACCAGCTAACCAAAACCAACATATCTAGTGATTAGGGTCAATGTATAATTACAGTTAATAGATAAGTAGCATAAAGAAACA